AGAAAGGTGCGATAACTCGACTCCACGAAATCTGTTTGCAAATGCCATGTCACCTCAACTTGGCGCCCCACAAAGTGTGAACATAACATTGTGGACATCATGGACACCAGGACCAACCGACAACACACCCTTTTGGATAGCTGAAAAATTTAGCGAGGGGGAAAAGGCTACTAAGAGAAATTTTATGCGATACTTCAGTCGAAAAAACGTTTATTTTTTCGTTTAATGTACGTACTTTCATTCGGTAATCCATTAATTGATATCCAACAATGTAATGCCGGACCCATGTTCCACCATGCACTACCGCTCAACTATCAGGTGACTAGTGAACTTAGGATTGACAATGAGGTCAAAATCATATTCTAAATCGCCACAACCATATTAGCTTATAATCCTCTGGTTTAAATATAGATTACTGAGAGAATTATAAACCACGACTTCAAGCAGCAACATCAACTACAAATTCGTGTTCGGATTAAATTACCACAACAAAAGCTAACAAGAGAGTATTGTTCCTCTTCGATGAAAGCTACGTTTAGTACCCAGTCACGTATCCACACGCATAAAGATGGCTGTGTATCGAACTTTCAATGCAAATATCACTAAAGCATCATCTAAGACGGGAGGAATAACGGCTACAGAAAAGGATTGATGAACGGATGGATGAGAGCTATCTCTCTTAGGTGAGGCGTGGATATATGAAGGGTAGATCAACCACCGAAGGCATGGATTTGGAGAGAATACAGAAAGGACGGCCTACCTGTGGCGGCGCGTGAGGCAGACTCTGGCGTGTGAGAGCAGCGTGGAGGGGAGCAAGGAGATGGTGTGGTAGTAAGTTTGCGGTGATGTAGTCTGCGTGCAGCATGTTCACGGCGTGCGCACACGTATGACCCGCATGACCGTCAACCACTGTAAAGAGGTGGCCCCCCGCGAACTCAGAGGTATAGCGTGCCAACGGGTGCAAAGAGTCGTAAAAGCCCTCTTGCACTTTGAAGGACATCGTTCCGCCCAGTCGGTACGCTGACCACCGATCTTCCACCGGCCGGTTCACGTCCAACTATGAAGAGCCATGCAAGATGTCTACGATTATTTAAGCAGTATGGGTATTTATAAACCTAGCAATGTTTCAACTTCCCCACCTCTGTTTGAAAAGACCGACTTTGATGACAAGGATTAATAAATCAAGTTTTCTTAAATATGCTGCCGAACTTTTGCCACAATCGATGCTTTAATCAACGTTTCCTAGCTGTGAATGAGATGCGAAAAGATTAACAACTCGGATGGATGAATGGTCGGTGAGCGAAGGAGTCTCTCACGGATGAATAGATGCATAAATGAGAAAATGATGACATAGACCACAAATTTTCAACGTTCAAGGCATATTTATGGTGAAAATAAGGTAACAAACTCGATTTCTTCTATTCAGATGACCATCAATGCTGTTGAAGTTCCATTAATTACCATGTCGTAAATCATTCTCATCATCATTGTCTGCGTTTTCATCTCATATTGCGAATTGGCATCGCAAAAAGAAAGAATGCATCTTTAGTAGATGAGTAGTGAATGAAAAACTTAGAAATTGAATGGATGAGCCAACGAAATCGATGGGGGATGGATGAAGCAAGCTTGA